TAAAAAAAAAAAAAATGTCTGCTGGATCAGCTGTCATCTGAAGGTTTGGGCATGGAGGATCCATTTCCAAGATGGTTCACTCTGCTTCGTTGGTACTGGTTGTTGACGGGGCCTGCGTTCCTCACCGTGTAGGCCACTCCACAGAGCTACTTGTTCCCCTGGGGCAAGTGATGCCAGAAAGAGACAAGGTGGAAGCCACAAGGTATTATGACCCAGCCTTGGAAATTACACAGTCATTTCTACCATTTCCTAATAGATGAATCTGACTCAGTGTGGAAGGGACTGCACTGGGTGAGGGGAAGTGAAGATCATTAGGGACCATCTTGGAGACTGGCTACCATAAGCAGTTAGGGTGGAAAGATCCTTGAATGAGAAGTCAGATGACTCAGGTTGCAGTCCCAGCTCTTTGGGCAAGTCATTTACCTCTCTGGGCTTCAGTTTCCCCTATATAAGCACTGTCCAATAGGAATACAATGTGAGCCACACTGTAATTTTACTTTTCCAGTAGCCACATTAAAAAAGGAAAAATAAACAGGTGGCATTAATAATACTTTAATTAACCTAATATAAAAATGTTTTACATTCCTTTTCTCCATGCTCTATCCAGAAGTTCAGTGTGTATTTTCCACTTGTAGCACATCTCATTTTGGAGTTGTCACTCTTCAGACATTCAGTAGCCACATGTGGCTACCATGTTGCAAAGTACAGCCTTAGGTAATATGGTATCCAAAGTCCTTTTTGAGCTTCCAGAAGAAAGGTGAGTCTTCCCACCTCTAAGGTTTGATGTTTAACTCTGCACACAGTTTTTATCAGTTATTCAAGCTGGAATGGACTTTGGAGGTATGTTCCTGCCTCCTCATTGTACAGAGATGGAACCAAGACTTCGGAAGAAACTTGCTCAAGGCACACAGTAAGTTAATCACAAAGCCACGCCCGGGTGCCAGATATAAGCCCCGTTCTCACGCTCTTTTCCTACTGTGCGCACTGACTTAGAGCTCAGGACAGTATGCTTGACAAATCATGGACATTTGGTCAATATTAGTTGATTGGTGGTTTGTGCACCCATTATTTACCCATATCTCTTCTAGGCCTTTTGTTTTCCCTCATGGAGCCAACAGTGCTGTTGTAGGAATATGGGGGGTGGATAGTAGCTGATAATTACTTTACAGTATTATTGCCAAGAAGGGAAATAATTATTCCAGGAAAAGTAGAGTTCGATTCTCATGGTTGGAAGGCTATGCACAGTGTTGCTCCCCATCTAGTACTTGATTACCCTCTCTAGCAACCGTAATAAAGTGACCATTCAGCCTGGTCTTGAATACCTCCAGAGACTGGGAAAGAAACATTTACTCAAAACTTATTTTTAGTACCACTGCGTTAGCCCTCTTAAGTACATTCTCTCAATCAGCAGCCTGTCCCATGTTTCTGGATCACTGGGAATCATTCTGCATGGTGTAATGACTGAGTTACCTGACCTTCCTGAGCCTCCGTTTCATTAGGTTCAAGGCTTGGCACAGAATAAACAGCAGAAAATATATAGTAGTTATTAGTGTTGTTCACCAACTATTTCAGGCAGGACTGTACTGTGTGGCTCCCTTGTCGTTGGTCGGGGCCAAGCAACTTGTTCTGATCAATGAGTTATGAATGGAGGTGACATGCCACTTCTGAGCTGGAGCATTGAATTGCTGGTGTCAGAGCCCTTGTGGTTTCTCTTTCCCTCTGGAAGAGTGACCAACATTCAAGACGGGTGGCTGCTTTCTGAGGGACTGCATAAGCAGAGACCCCTGCTACTGCTGGACATGCGGTGGAGTTAAGCCACTGAAATGTGGGCGTTGTTCATTACCACCGCATAACCTAACCTCTTCTGACTGAGGCAATATGTTTATATTAATTAGGACTCTTATATTTGCAAATGTAGAAACCTCACTCTAACTTATGCAAAAAAACAAATTAAAGAGTGACAGTGAGGGCATTATTGGAAAAGGTCCTGGGGGTCTCATAAAATCCAAGGTTAGGGCTGCAGCCGGGCTCAAGAGCAAAACCAGAGCATGTAGCCCTTTAAGAACCCAGATAGTCTTTTCTCTCCTCCCTGGCAGGCTTCTTGGTGTGTCTGTTTCACGCTCGCTTGCTTTAGTCCAGCTTTCTCTGTTTCCCGGGCTGCATGCCAGCTGCTGTTATCCATGATTATTGGAGTCGAGTCGAGGCAAATCCCTAGGTGTCTGGCTTGAGCAACCAGGTGGATGCTAGAGGTATTGCTGGGATGGGAAACACTGGGTGAAGACCAAGTTTGGAGAGAAAGAGAATGAGTTCAGTGTTAGGTAAATCAAGTTTGAAACACTTGTGGGAGATGCAAGTAGAGAGGGCCAAGGGGCAGTGGGTGTGTGGATCTAGAACATGGGTGTGATGAGCTATGGTTTAGGTCTGGAGACAGAAGAGGAGGGCAGAGGACTGATAAACGTGAGGTATGGGACGAGGAGGGGCAGGCCAAGGAAGGGGGAGGCAATAGGCAGAGAAATATTTGGGGGCACAGATTGAGACAACAGGACAATGTCATCCACTCTTCCAGCAGCCTGGGATTGCCAGGCATCCTAGAAGAGCCAAGCCTCCAAGAACAGGTGGACTGTGGGTTGTTAGGGCCAGGAGGCCAGGGTTTGGCGGAGGCCAGGCCCATGGGATCAGGTCAGGCCACTGCTATGGGTTTCCTGGCTCTTCTTCCTGCCTGGACAGAGCCCATCCCCAGTTTCCCACAGGGGCCCTTCCTCAAGGAAGGAAGCTGAGCATATGAAGAAAGATATTTAACACCCTGGCTTTCCTACCTCCAGAAGGCCTCTTCTTGTTTGTGCAGAATCTTCTCCCCATAAATAAACAGACTGTCCAGGGTCTGGTGAATAAGTGCTAAACGTAAGGATGTGACTGGTTTGGCATCTTGTTCCTCCTTGCCAGCTCTGGCAGCGTGACTAGATACACCTTACTTCTTGGGAAAAATCCTCTCTCCGAAAGCCCTATGGAAATCGGATTTTTGCAATCTAAATTGCATTTTTCTTTTTACCAAATTATAATTTACCATACATATAATCATACCATATTATAGTATCTATAAAATTTAAAAATAAAACAACGCTTGTACTCCCACCTGACAACACATCCCCTACATTTGTGTCTTTAGTACTTGATCACGAACAGACATATTTTATGTACTTGTCATTATTATGTGGATAAAATTATGTATACTCTTTTAAGCTAAACCTGGTATTACATGAATTTTACCACATTGCTATATAATCTTTACAATTATATTTTTGAATGCCTTAATTTTGTTTTTATTTCTTTTAAAACTGAGAATTCAATATTTTTTTAAATATAGGTAATGCAAATTAAAAAGGTACAAAATGGTGACTTTGAAATGTAAGTCTTGCTCCTATTCTTTTCCTCTGTAAATTCAGTTTTTTTCCTGGAGGCCTAATGATGGTAAATTCTTTTTTATATACTTCAGAGATATTTTATACATATATAAGTGTGCATGATTATATACTTTTTTTTCATATAGTAACATACTATACCCACAGCATTACACTTTGGAGATTGTTTCAGATTAGTATATAAAGAGCATCCTCATTTTATTTTATTTTTTATATTTTATTTATTTATTAGAGAGAGAGAGCACACAAGCAGGGGGAGAGGCAGAGGAAGAGGGAGAAGAGCTCACAAGCAGGACACCCTGCTCAGCAGGGATGTGGGGCTCGATCCCAGGGCCCTGGGATCATGACCCAAGCCAAAGGCAGACGCCCAACCAACTGAACAACCCAGACGCCCCAGGGTCCTCATTTTAAAAAATGACTACAGAGTATTCTATTCAGTGGATTTCTTATGATTTATTTAGCTAGTACCTTATTGAGGACATTTAGGTTATTACTAACCTTTTGCTTTTACAAGCAAGGCTGCAATGAAAATTCTTGTGTGTGTGTGTGTCTGTCTGTGTGTTACATTGCACATGAGTACAAGGTTGCATCTTTAGAAGTGATTTTCTGAGTCAAAGGATATGTGCATTTTTAATAGATATTGTCATATTGCCTTCCATTAAAGTTATACCAATTTATATTCCCATCAATAATGTACAAGAGAGATGCCTGAATTTTAAATGTTCTAGCATCTTAGATTTTTTTTTTCATTTTTCTTTTTTTTTTTTTTAAGATTTTATTTTATTTATTTGAGAGAGAGAGAATGAGAGAGAGCACATGAGAGGGGGGAGGGTCAGAGGGAGAAGCAGACTCCCTGCCGAGCAGAGAGCCCGATGCGGGACCCGATCCTGGGACTCCAGGATCATGACCTGAGCCGAAGGCAGTCGCTTAACCAACTGAGCCACCCAGGCGCCCCTTTTTTTTTTTTCATTTTTAAAGTTTTTTGGTATAAAATCTTTTTAACAAACAACAATGAACCGCATGTATCCATCATGCAGCTAAAACAATCATCAACTCAAGGCCAGCCCTAGTTTGTTTAAAGTGGGACCTACTTCCGGCTTTCTCCCTGGATTATTGTGAAGCAAATCATAGATACCATATTATTTCATCCATAAATATTTCAGTATGTATTCCCCAAAGATAAGGACTCAAAAAAAAACCACTTCAATATCAACAAATATTCAGTTAGTATTCCCCAGATTTTTCCAATTGTTTGCTTGTTCCTTTTTTTCACAGTTGGTTTGTTCAAATCAGGATTCAAATACTGGATTTGGTTTACATGTCTCACAAATGTCTCCTTAGTCTCTTATCACCTAGATTCCTCCCACAACTTTTTTTTTTTAAGCTTTTTCTCCTGTGTTTCCTGAAGCTTGAAAGATAAAGCCTGATGCTTGATATGATTTGGCAAGTCAGCTTCATAAGTGGTGGTGTGTAATTGAGGCATGCAATATCTTTCTTTTTTTCTCTTTTTCATGATGATTATTCCCTAGATCCATTATTTTGTTAGGGGTTTACAAAATGTGATATTCTTTTTCTTTTTTTAAGATTTTATTTATTTATTTGACAGAGAGACACAGCAAGAAAGGGAACACAAGCAGGGGGAGTGGGAGGGGGAGAAGCAGGCTTTCGGCTGAGCAGGGAGCCTGATGTGCGGCTCGATCCCAGGACCCTGGGATTATGACCTGAGCCAAAGGCAAATGCTTAATGACTGAGCCACCCAGGCGCCCCACAAAATGTGATATTCTGATTCTGTCATGCCTTTTTCACTTACTAGCTGGAGAATGTTTACAGAATTCAACAAGACCAGTGGCATTAGTGTTATTGGTACTTTATTCATTTTTTAGTTTTGTTCATATTCAATAAAAGTTTGTACTGAATAAAAAATTACCTGTATAAAAGATATGCTTTTATAGTTGCATTAGAATTTATACTGAGTTTAAATTTGAACATATTTGCATTGCCAGCACTGAGTAACTCAATAATTTTTGAGGAATCCATACATTATTCAAATCCAAGAGACACTGGTCTAAGGCTAAAGTGTTACATTTTTGCAATATCTAAATTGCGAGGTTTTCTAAGCCAGAGACTGTTTGTTTGTGTTTGTATCCTAGTACCTAGCATGTAAAAGGAAGCAAGTTTCATATCTATGTTGTTACGAAGAATTTCCTATCGCCTCCACATTGGTTCTTTTGTGGACAGACATCAATATCCAGTCTGTGAAGTGTTCATTATGGCCGTGCTCAGGCAGCCTTCCATCCTACAGAATTCTGATTGTTAGACAGGTATTCTTCCTCCTAAACTGAAACCCGCCTCCAACACAGTCATAACTCTACCCTCCTGCAAGGCCTCCGCTAAGAGTCCTTTCCTGGCCATGTCTACCTACATCCCCCTCTAATGGCAGTGGCCACACTGTGTTATAGTTACTTCATTCCACATCTGACCCTGTCCAGACTGTGGTCTCTCCAGGCAGGGACTGTAGCTGCATCCTCTGTGGCCTCCTCAGGCCCAGCCCAGGGCCTCACACAGAAGAAGTACCCAGAAATGGCCTGTTGGGTCAGCAAATGTGGTCTCTTCTTCAAGTTTAACTTTCCTGATTCTTCTGTTCTTCACAGAAGATGGTTTCCAGACTCCACACCTCTGCCCTCATATCAATAGGCTCTAATTGGCTAAGGTGCCTTTAATCTGTGTTACTTGGAACTGAAGATAGCATGACTGGTATGGGATGGCCAGTGTGACGTGTGTCAGCTTGTGCTGGGCCCTGAGGACACAGGGAAGGATCCGACTTCGTCCCTGTCTTCAAGGAACTCACAGCTTTGTGGAGGAGACATACCTGTAAATAAAATTCATAATAAACTGTTAAAAGTATCATGAGAGAAGTTTGCACAGAGTACTATGGAAACATAAAAGAAGAGGTGAGAAATCATAAAAGAGAGGGGCAGAAAAGTCTCAAGGTGACATTGAATTAGAATTCTAGGTTGTAAATAAGAAAGGAAAAAAAAAAAAACCACCTCAAACTAGCTCAAATGAAAAGAGAGTATCTCAGAACTCAAACTAAAAAGTCTGGGGCTTGACTTCAGGCACAGATTGATCCAGGAGGAGGTAGCAGGTAAGGGTGAGTTAGCCAGCTCCAGCAAGAAGGTGCTCCAGGCAGAGAAAATAGCACAGCAAAGGCCTGGAGGGGATAGAGAGCATGTGGGTGTTTGAGGAACTGTGGATTGTCCTCCTGCCTCTTTCTAGGGTGAACAGCCTGGGTTCACAGCCTCCTCCCATATTCCTTCATTCTCCTGCTCCTCTCTCCTTCTCCTTGCCCAGAGCAGGATAAAGAGGAACGGGGCAGGCCCCCACCCATCAGACCGTTGCCCCTCCTGCTTGCCCCTCTAGATGCTCACCACCCTTCTCTACCCACCACAGGCCTCCTTGCTCCCATCTGGGTTGGGGCAAAGGGAGATAGTGGTAGAAGACCATAAAGAAGGGAAGGAGTAGAGGGAGAGAAGGGTACTTACTTCCTCAGCTCTTTCCCTGTGGGGTCAGCACGGGTTGGGTTGGGTTGGGCCGGGTTGGGTGCACTCTCTACTAAAAGCCACAGCTCCAGCCTGCTGGCCTCTGCAGTTTCTAGTAATCCCTTCCTCCCCTGCCCTTGGAGCCTTGCTATGGTGTCCCTCCTCACCGTTGCTAGCCAGGGTGATGGCACCATTCCTTGCTGGCTTCCTGAACCCTCCTCATACTCTCTTCAAATTACCCAGTTTCAAGGAGCCATCTGTTTCCTGCCAGAAACCTGCCTGACACACGGCCCTCACCTGCACCAGAGGTGAGTGGGGGGCATGCTGGGCCCTGTGAAGTGCTGGGTGCCTGTGAGAGGATAGTGTTATTCAGCTCAACTCGATTCCACCATACTCACCTCTCTCCAGCCTGACCCACAAGGGCCCAGGGCTGTTCTAAGCACTTTACACACTTTATGTAATCTTCACAGCAAATAACAAACCCACAAAGTTGAATTACTGGCTGTGTTTTAAGAAGAGGAAAGCGGCTCAGCTGAAGATTTGCCCAAGTTCATATAGTTAGAGGCAGGTCCGCGGTTTGAACTCAAGTCTGGACTCCCAGAAGCTGTGCATTAAACCGCACCCCTATGACTCCCACTCTGCTCTCCTCACAGGTCAAGTGAAAGGACCAAATGGGACAGCTGGTGCTTTTCAGACTCTAAAGAGCCAACACACCTCGTTGGCCTGAGAACTGTGGTATGTCCCATCCCTCCCAGAAGACCGGACCACTGGAAGGTCAGAGCTGACAGAGGCCCCAGAGATCACACAACCTCACTCCCTCCTGTGCCCAAGAAGAAACAGCCCCAAGGGGTTCCCCTTAGGTCCCACATTCCTGCAGGAACCAGAATTAGAATCTAGAATGTTTGCAGACACCCCGTAAACATATCAGCAAGAAGGATGTAGCATTCCCCTCAGAGAAGAGTTTAGAAGAGAGAGAAGGGGTGGGGATCAGGATGGGGGCTGGGACTATAGGATTTCAGATTTAGGGAATGAAAGGCATGTCGGGGGCGCCTGGGTGGCTCAGTTGGTTAAGCGACTGCCTTCGGCTCAGGTCATGATCCTGGAGTCCCGGGATCAAGTCCCGCATCGGGCTCCCTGCTTGGCGGGGAGTCTGCTTCTCCCTCTGACCCTCCTCCCTCTCATGCTCTCTGTCTCTCATTCTCTCTGTCTCAAATAAATAAATAAAATCTTAAAAAAAAAAAAAGAAAGGCATGTCGGAGCCCATCTAGAAGACTTCTCCCATAGCAACTCTGACAAGGCAGCTCTGCTTGCACAGCTCTCCCATGATGAGAAGCCCACTCTGGCCCAACGCAGCCTGTTCCATGCTCCCCATGAGTGGAGATCTAGGTCCCGTGACTCCCCTGTCCCCAAGCACATTTGTTCTGCATCTTCTCTCTGGGATCCATAGTACATGTCTGCTCTCTATGCCCCAGAGGTGGGAGACATGCTCACAGCATACTTAAGACCCTCTTCTCACTTTCCCTTGGCTATGAATCTCTGGGTGCCCTCCTCCCTCCTCTCTGTCACCCAAATCAGGGCTGTTCTCCAAGGCCCACGTATTTCAGCCTGTAAAACCATTTACCCTACTTCCACTAATAATATCCATATTTTCCTTAGGGAATCATACCCCCATCAACTTTAAGTTTATGCATTATTATTTTTTTATTATTTTTTAAAGATTTTATTTATTTATATGACAGAGAGACACAGCGAGAGAGGGAACACAAGCAGGGGGAGCAGGAGAGGGAGAAGCAGGCTTCCCGCGGAGCAGGGAGCCCAATGTGGGGCTCGATCCCAGGACCCTGGGACCATGACCCGAGCCGAAGGCAGACACGTAACGACTGAGCCATCCAGGCACCCCCATTATTTTTTATTAAGGTATAATTGGCATATAACATTATATTAATTACAGGCATACAACATAATGATTCAATATTTACATACATTGCAACGTGATCACCACAATAAGTCTAGTTAACATCTTACATAGTTACAAAAATTTTTTTCTTGTGATGAGAACTTTTTTGTTTTTCAAGATTTTATTTATTTATTTGACAGAGAGAGACACAGCGAGAGAGGGAACCCAAGCAGGGAGAGAGGGAGAAGGAGAAGCAGGCTTCCCGCCGAGCAGGGAGCCTGATGTGGGGCTCGATCCCAGGACTCCGGGATCATGACCTGAGCTGAAGGCAAACGCTTAACAACTGAGCCACGCAGGCGCCCGTGATGAGAACTTTTAAGACCTACTTGCATTGGGCGCCTGGGTGGCTCAGTTGGTTAAGCGACTGCCTTCGGCTCAGGTTATGATCCTGGAGTCCCGGGATCGAGTCCTGCATCAGGCTCCCTGCTCGGCGGGGAGTCTGCTTCTCCCTCTGACCCTCCTCCCTCTCATGCTCTCTGTCTCTCATTCTCTCTCTCAAATAAATAAAATCTTAAAAAAAAAAAAAAGACCTACTTGCTTTGACTTTCAAATATGCAGCACAGTGTTAGTAACTATAGTCACCATGCTGATCATTATGTCCCCATGACTTGTTTATTTTATAACTATGACTTGTTTATTTTATACCTCTTGATCACCTTCACCCATCTCTCCCACCCAAGTTTATGTGGTTTGAGTAAAGATGACACCCCACTCAGCTTCTTTCCCTGGCTTCTATGATTGGTGCAGGAATGGGCACTGGGCCTGTTTCAGGACAGTAAGAGTCAGACCCAGACTTCTGCCAGGAGGATTGGAGGGGAAAGAAGCTCTTCCTACCAGTTTTATAGACAGATAGAGTGTATACATGAAACTGCAGGCAGCCATCTTGTTACCACAAAGTGGGACTCTGCCTCAGAATGGAGCAACAGTGAGAAAAGTAGAGCCCAAAGATGCGAAGAGACAGGTTGAAGACATCATCTAAGCTCCTGGATCCAACCATGCCTGAAGCCAATCCTTTGAACTCTGTAATTCCATGAGCCAATAAATTCCCTTTTCTACTTAAGTCAGTTTGAGTTGGGTTTTCTGCCCGTTGCGTCTAAGATTCCTAACTGCAACTCACTTCCTCTGCAAATCTTAGTCCTCACTTACCCTACTTTCTTCTGCCTTCCCATAACCCTTACTGTTTAAATCATAAAATTCAAAAGTCCATATTTATAACACTATGAATGCACATGCCCTGATTAATAGTCATCTTTACGAAACACTTGCTATGTGCCGGGTACCAGGTAAAGCATTTTATAAATAATATCTTACTGTAATCCACAGATGTAGCTATTTCTATCCCCATTCTACAGAGAAGGAAACTAAGATTCAGAGAAGTTAGGCTCTTACAGCCAATAACCCAGCTCTGCTGGACCCCAGAGGCAGTGTTCTGGACCACTTGCTTCCCAGGACGTAGCATGTGTGAGGGTGAGGTGGGGAGAAGATGCCATGGAGATCTTTAGTCTCCTGACACCACACCATCCCACCCTTGCTATACGCTCTTCCAGAGGTCTTTTCACTGCTCTGTGCTGCTTGCTGAGGCAGGAGAAAGGTGATGTTCAGAACAAGAAGACCAAGCGTTCTGAGGGTCAAACTGACAGGCCAAGAGGAGACAAATCACAGAAGTACAGGCTGCTGATGAGTAATGGAATAAAATAACTGGATGTGGGGCGCCTGGGTGGCTCAGTCGTTAAGCATCTGCTTTCTGCTCAGGTCATGATCCCAGGGTCCTGGGATCGAGCCCCACATCGGGCTCCCTGCTCAGCAGGAAGCCTGCTTCTCCCTCTCCCACTCCCCCTGCTTGTGTTCTCTCTTTGCTGTGTCTCTCTCTGTCAAATAAATAAATAAAATCTTTAAAATAAAATAAAGTAAAATAAAAATAAAATAAAATAACTGGATGTGACCATTAAGCTTTCTCTGTGTTTCATGCTGTATTTTCCTTGGTGACCCAGGCTTTTAACACTATTGACAGACACAATCCGTGCTCATCCAACCCTTCTCCCCCAACTTACTAGACAGACATGGAGTTACATCCTGTGTATTCTATGGTGAAAAAGACACATGGTCTGTGCTCTTGGAGTGCTCACAGTCTGATGGGAAAGGCAGACCCCAAGTCAATACACAGGTAAACAGAAGACCAGGTGGAGTTCTCTGAAGAAAACAAACAGGAAACTTGAGAGGTGATGGTTCCATTTAACTGAGAGAATGAAGACTGAGGGAAGCCGGGGAAAGAAGTCAAGGGTCCCAGTCCCAATGTATCATTCAGAGATGTTAAGTAGGTAGATATAGAAGTCTAATGCTTAGAGGAGAGGTGTCTGGCCTAGAGGTTGAAAA